GACAGTGTCAAAAGCCTTGCTGAAGTCCAGGGAGACAACATCCACTGCTCTGCCCTCATCTCCCCAGCCAGTCCTTCCGTCATAGAAGGCTATCAGATTGGTCAAGCATGATTTCCCTTTGGTGACTCCATGCTGACTACTCCTGATCACCTTCCTGTCCTCCAGATGCTTAGTGATGGCCTCCAGGAGGAGCTGTTCCATCACCTTTCCAGGGATGGAGGGGAGGCTGACAGGCCTGTAGTTCCCTGGCTCCTCCTTCTCACCCTTTTTGAAGGCTGGAGTGACCTTGGCTTTCTTCCAGTCCTCAGGCACCTCTCCTGATCTCCAGGACCTTTCAAGGATGATGGAGAGTGGCCTAGCAATAACATCCACCAGCTCCCTCAGCACTCATGGGTGCATCCCATCAGGGCCCGTGGATTTGTGGATGTCAAGTTTGGACAAACGATCTCTCACCCGATCCTCCTCGACCAAGGGAGAGTCTTCCTTTCTCCAGACTTTCTCTCTTGTCCCCAGGGTCTGGGATTCCTGAGGGCTGGCCTTTAGCAGTAGAGACTGAAGCAAAGAAGGCATTCAATAACTCTGCCTTCTCTATATCCTTCATCACCAGGGCCCCCACCCCATTCAGCAGTGGGCCCACATTTCCCCTAGTCTTCCTTTTGCTACTGATATATTTGAAGAAGCCCTTCTTGTTGTCCTTGACATCCCTTGCCAGATTTAATTCCAAATGGGCCTTGGCCTTCCTCGTCACATCCCTGCACACTCTGACAACGTCCCTATATTCCTCCCAAGTGGCCTGTCCCCTTTTCCACCTTCTGTATACTTCCTTCTTCTGTTTGAGTTTTGCCAGTTGCTTTATAAAACAACAAGAAGAAGTAAAAGAAACCTACTTGTTGAAGTTAATGAGATAAAGATAAGTGACATTTGGAACTTTTCCATTCCAATGTATTGTGTAGCCCTTTTGAAGCATCACTACTGGCTGGTACTGTTGAAAGACGGCTCTCTGATTAATACCTCGCAGAACCATGGGATTGGATGGGTATTCATCTCGTACGATGGTCATGGAAAGGTTCTGCCCATTCCATGTTTGGATGTAAACCTATAGGATATTAAGGGAGAATAAAAGAAAGAGGAAGGGTTTGGACACACTCTTTTAATCAGTACAAACAGAAACAAATTAGTGAGGAATAATCAGTACATTATGAACCGAGCTGCTACATTCCGAGGTTCTGAACTATGCAAGACCCAAACAGGACTCCCTTTTTAAGAGCTGCTTGTAAAAAGATTGTAGATTTTGCCCATTTTACAGACTAAAAAAAGGGGACGAGGAAAAGAAAAGAAAGGTATAGAATCAATTAAGGTGCTGGGCCAAATTCATACCCAACTTGAAGCAGAAATTGGAATTTTCTAGGCAAGAGATTTGCAATTCAGAAAACTGTATTTAACATTTTCATGAAAAAAACAACAAACCCAAAAAACAAAAAAAAATTCCACAAAACCAAGAAAACAAGACCCAGTCCACAGACAAGAGACAGTATTCCAGTGGAAGAAAATCTCCAATACAAAAATGTCTTAGCAGATAGGAGTGCAACATGGAACTCATGGTATGCAAACTCACAGCATAAACATTTGCTTTTATCTTGATACATTTAATATTGTACTTCCTGTTCACATACTGAGAGTTATGCAAATTACAGAACTAGCTGAAAATACACATAATACACATAAAAGTAGTTGAAATACTTTAAAAAAAAATTCTTCAAAGTATTTTTAATCTAAAGATAGGAAATTTTGTATGTTATCCACCCAATTGTTCATGTTCTAGATTTGTTTTAAATAGAAGGCTGCAACAGTACTAGCCTGAGCATACGCTCCACTGCAAATCACTCCATTCCATTCTGTATTGCTAATGCATTTGGGGTGCTGAATCAGGTAGTTATCCATTCTGCCAACGTAGGTATCCTTGTAGTCAGTCACTGAACCGTCTAGATCATGGAATATTGAGGTCTTGTCACCATCCAGATCTCCATCTTCAAACCAGGGACCTGGTTTTCCGAAGAAGACTTTCAGAAAAACCTGGTAATAACAATTCAAATAGTTAACTTTGCTAGGTGAAGCACAAATTAACACTTGCACGACTCCAAAAATAGAGGGATTTGACAGAGTTAATGAAAAATCTTCTAGCAAAGCCAGTGGAATCTTGCAAACAGAATTTCATTTTTTGGTAGTAGGCTCAAGTCAGGTCTTTTGCCCAGAAGATCCTTGTTGCA